GAGAGTCTATTCTATTGGCTTTCAAATGCTAATAGAATAAAAGGGAGTAGCACAGCTAAGGAAAGGGGGGGGGGAAATGGCGGACTGCATTGTTTGGCAACCCCTGTGAAATGGTCGTTCGACCCCAAATGGGGTCCCAACCTACAGGTTAAGAACCACTGCTGTAAGAAGTAGGCAAATATAGTATAAAAGAAATGGACCCTGCAACTAAGTGGAACATACACTAAACAACAAACAACAAACGTGTAATTTCTACATTATTTCATCAAGCTGGAAGTTCTTCATTAATGAAAAGACAGTTGCATATTACATTGGTAATCACATAAGTGTCTTTCATTAATCTTCTAGTGAAATTGAAGTATTTTTCGGTATATTCTCTGATCTGCATGTGAGTAACCATTTTTTCCTTGTAACCATAAAACTGAGAGTTTGTTTCCAACATTCATAGCAGATCAATAAAATGGTCACATTCATAATTGATCCATATGCAGTAGCTACAGATGGTCTTCATTTAATAATCATTCATGCAGTGATTGTTCAAACTTATGAACAACCTGAACAAATAATAGTTATAACTGAACTTCATATGTATAGACATTTTTGTGTCCTGTGATCATGAAACTGAAATTTGCCACCCTCTCAACTGGCTTCCCACAAGCAAAATCATTGGTGAAGCTTGTAAGAAATCACAAATTGCGTCATGTGGATACTTACTTAATTAACTACATAATTTTCATTTAATGACTCCAACTGGGATTGCTGGAACTGCGTTTGGTTGTGTGATTTTTCAATGTACATGTTGCTTCACAATGTAGTTTCCAGTCCCAGTTAGCATTTTTAAATGAGGACTACCTATATTCTGATTTTAGGAACGTGTACATTTATGAGACTGCAGGAATAGCAGCTAAACTTGAAGGAAAATAATGTTTGTAAAAGATGCCACTCCTAATTCAGTAAGTCACAGAAAAATTACTTTCATATATTATAGAATTAGTGTATGAAATTCTCAGAATATTGGAAATAATAATAATCTCTAGGAGATCTATGTGATAGCCTCCTGGTTTCATTAAAAAATATTAAAAAGTGGTCTCTCAGACTAGTAAATGTTGATTTAAAATATTTAGAAAAAACTCATGGGCATATTATAAATTAGGCTTCGTAAACTTGACCAGTTATTTCCGAAATTAATCATACGATGTAAGAGTTTAATTTTTTGATAATAACACTCCCAACCTATTTTCAGAAAACATGAAGCAGAATATGTATGTATGTATGTATGTAGGTTTTTGGTTATTCGGGTTTTCTCCCGCATAAAATTGGAAGTGTCTTGGCGACGTTTCAACGAAGTCCCATTCGTCATCTTCAGGCTGGTGTTTTCAGCTTCGTGCTTCGAGGAGCAATGTGTGGTCTTAGCTGTTTCTTCCTTTTAACTGCCAGTGGGGGTATGAACTGATTGGGTGGGAGCTTGGCTGTGTTCTGATTGGGTGGAGGTGTGTTCTGATTGGTCAGGGGCTTGGCTGTGCTCTGATTGGCTGGGGGGTTGGCTGTGTTCTGTTTGGGTGGGGGCTTTGTTGTGCTCAGGCTAGTCTGAGTTGCAGGAGGGTTTAAGATGGTGGGCTGCCTTGCTATTTTTTGGCTTCGTGGTCGTGCCTCATCTTCATGGAGGGTGTCAGTTTGCTTCATGTATGGATTGGAGGGGTTTAAAGTGGCTAATGATGCAGCTGTGGTCTGGCTTCTGGTTTGTGGTTGTGCCTCATCATCGGTGTGGCTTTGGGTTTGCTTTTTGCGTGGATGTGTGGTGGTGACATCCTGTGTGGTCATTCATGCTGTGTGGGTGTTTTTCTATCTCGATGGCTTCTCTGATTATTCTGTTATTAAAATGTTCAGTTTTGGTGATAGTTCTGGTATTTTTAAAGTCAATTTCATGTCCTGTGGCTTTAAGGTGTTGGACCAGGGAAGATGTTGGTTCCTCTTTTTGACTGAGTTCTTATGTTCTTCAATGCGTGCACACGGCATGAACAAACGAGATGATACGTCCCGCCTACCAGCCATTTGGAAACCCACCCTTATTGACAAACGACTCCCTAACACAAAAAATTACACCAGACCCACACTCACAAAAACCACACAGGATGTCACCACCACACATCCACGCAAAAAGCAAACCCAAAGCCACACCGATGATGAGGCACGACCACAAACCAGAAGCCAGACCATAACTGCATCATTAGCCACTTTAAACCCCTCCAATCCATACATGAAGCAAACTGACACCCTCCATGAAGATGAGGCACGACCACGAACGCGAAGCCAAAAAATAGCAAGGCAGCCCACCATCTTAAACCCCCCTGCAACTCAGACTAACCTGAGTACAACAAAGCCCCCACCCAAAGAAAACACTCCCCCAGCCAAGGATAAAACTTTACAAGGATAAAACTCCAATACAAAATACAGTACAAGAATCAGTACCCCAGTGTTACATCCCAGTATTATTACAATTGGCTGAATATTATGGGCCCCTTTTGCCCTGCTTTCCTTAACTATTATATTTTGGTTTTGATATTTATTTGGATTTAACTATTTATGATGATGATGATGATGTTTTCCTTTTGTTTGATCTATGCAGGCCAGAGGCTCTTGGCATTGGAGCAAGTTATGAGAACTGTTACATAAACAAACAATAAATTAAACTCAGTTTAACAAGGAAAAAATAGTTTCATTCCATAAAAAGGAAAACAACAAGACTCTTGCAGCACTTTCGAATAACCAATTATTATGATCTAAGTTTTCATGGAATATCATCCATACATAGGCTCCTAGTTAGGAATTGTAACAGTGAGGTTATAGGGAAATGGAATTGCAAGACATTCCATTTCCTATTAACCTGAGGTCAGGAGAAGCCTCTTCTTCATGATATAATACATAACAGTCTTCCTGGAAAGCTAGATTTATTCTGTGTTCCTTGGTCTTCTGGAAACAAGTTAAGATAGGAGATCTTCTGAGGGGCTTTAGTTAGTTGAAAACATGCAATAAAAATGTTGAGGTTGGTAGTTTGGATTTTTATATTCTATTTGTCTACTATAGACATTTGACATTTATGTATATCATTAGGCTTCTGAGAGTTATATGGCAGCAGTAATAGACATCTTTTCCATAATCATGATGTCAGCGTGGCCAAGCCAAATTCTGATCACCAAACTGTGCATTCTTCATTGGAATCCACTCAAAGATGCATACATATATACACTTCTTGGAAGCTAAAGCAGTTTAAACAGCCTTTTTTAAAAAGGACTACAGATCTTTTTTCCTCAGTACATGCTTCGTGCTGTTTGTTTGGGGGATGCTTTCTTGACTGGTCAGAGACTCGCTTTGCAAAGCAGCTACAAATATTTGGTGCGGCGGAGCCTATTAATAATACTTACAGGGAAAATAATAAGAATTATTTGGTAGGAGAAAAACATAAACATAGTCATGTTTGTCTTATTGCAGCATATTTAGATGAAACAATTTCCCAAATGGTTTTTGGATTACTTTTGTACTTACTTGATGTGGGTCGGGGGGGGGGAATAGCCCTGGAAACATTTTCTTACTTGTATAAACCATTGTTATTACATTTTTTCCATTTGTTTTGCTTCACCATTAACCTTCTCAATGCTGGACTGAAGAATGATTATACAGAGAGACAAATAACTGGATAACTGCACATATACATTTTAATTTCATTAAACTCTAATTGTTTTTAAAATGCTGAACTAAACTTAAGTTTTACGTCCTTTTGCAAGCCTTTTAATCCTAGTGGGTTGATATAAGCCCCCAGTTTACAGAGATGATGGATGTGGAGGCCCACAGCTTCCCTGTTGATTTTGCTTTGGAGAAAGTCTGCTCTTATGCCTTCCACTAGAAGGGATCATTTGCAGTTTGTTTGGTGGAGGCAAATATGTGACTTGGCATTCATGACAGGCTTTTTTGGCCAGGTTCCTTCACTCTAGGCATCATCAGTTGAGCTTCTCTTGGGGAAGGACTTCAGCGAGTTCAAAAAAGGGGCATTGCGTTGTGGAGCCCTGCCTGGACAAGTGACCTTCTCTTTTCAACTCACTGATTTGTTGAATGGGAAATACTGTAGTCCTTTGGGCCAGGCAGGGAGTTACTACAGGGATAAGCTTCTGTCCCTGCCCTCCAACACACTCAACATTGTCAGATTTCAGATTGCACCCACTAGCTCAAACTATCAGAGAGAATCACGTGAATCAAAGTGTGTGGATGTGTGCATAGATTGGAGCATTGCAAATATATCTGAAAGTACTTTAGCAAAGAGTAAGGAACTTTGTAGGTCCCTGGTGCTCTCTGAGCTTGGTGGGTTTCTTGCAGACATTTCATTAGCAAACTATGTAGCCTCATCAATGCAACGGATAAAATATCACAAATATTCTCCTCTGTCAGTAAGGAATTCCTTCAAAATGTGTCCTTAATCATTCTGACAGACACACACAAATACATAACACACACACAGCTGTGTACTTATTTCGATGCTTACTGCAAATGAATTTCCTCCTTTTTGCATGCTGGTACAAGGTGGTCCTCGACTTATGGCTACAATTGAGCCCAAAATGTCTGCTGCTAAGCAGACAGTCATTAAGTGAGTTGTGCCCCATTTTATGACCTTTCTTGCCACAAGTGGTTACGTGAATCATTGCAGTTGTTAAGTCAGATGGTCGCTAATGACCCCAGGACACTGCAACTGTCATAAATACCTGCCAGTTGCCAAGCATATGAATTTTGTTCATGTGATCATGGGGATGCTACAGTGGTCCTAAGTGTGAAAACCTGTCATTTGAACGGTCACCAAATGAAAAGTTGTAAGTTGAGGACTACTTGTATTAAAAAAAACATTAGGTATCTTTTCTCTTCTTTTCAAAAATAATAATAATAATAAAGACCATCTTTCTCTCTGTGTGTTCCCCCTTCCCTCCCAATCCCTGGTTCGTTTTTCTGCTTTTCAGGTGGCAGCCAAGGCCGGTGTCTACGAGATCCTGAACCATCTGGGGTTTTCTGAATTTGAAACGCTGGACAGCCAGGCACTCGCCCAGCTTCGCTATCGCTGGCAGGAGCAAAGCCGTAGCATCCTGCCCTTCCGAGGAGAGTTCATTTAGGACGCAACGTTATTAAGGACCTGGAGGACTGCAAAACGTCTCCAGATGTGGCTAAATCACCTTCTTTCTCTGTTTTTCTCTGAAGCTTATGAAATATGTGCCTTAAAGAAGGGCTGTGTTTCCAAGAAAAAGAGGTAAAATGGCCTTGAGGACAATATTTTTAAGGGTTCTTTTTTTCCAGGTAGAATAAAATAAATGTAAACAAAGCAGATGCTCTAGACCAGACATGTCAAACTCGCGACATCATGTGACATCACGCAACGTATCAGGACAGTTTTGTCATTGTCGGCAATGGGGTGGGCGCGGCTTCCACGTGACACGTCTGGCCTGCAGGCCAGCAGTTTGACACCCTGCTCTAGACTTTCTCCCGGTCCCCAGGGTGCCAGGAAAGACTTTTTCTGAGGACTTGGTGCCCAAGGTAACTTGTATATTATGTATATGCAGAAGTAGGAAACATTTAATGGGCAGTTCCATGTGGTTTAAGTATTTCTTGAGCTTGACTCTTGTTGTTTTGTTATGATGATGCTGATGTACATTTATGATACTTTAATTGGTAATCACCATTGTTGGACAGTTGTACTGTGCCAAGGATGGGAAAAGGTTACCTACACTGCCCAATGTGGACCTTTCACTGCATGCCTCAGAGAATGCTGAAATTTCTAGAGTTTCTGGAATTACACACACAAATACTCTCCCCCCCTCTCTCCCCCCCCATCTCTCTCTCTCTCTCTCTCTCTCTCTCACACACACACACACACACACACACACACACACACACACACACGATGCTTTTCTGAATACAGCAAATGGTTAATTCACCTGTCCTGCCTTCTTGGTCTGAATTGGGTGGGGAGCCTATAGACTACTAACAGATGTTAAACTTGAGCTCATCATTTTTGATGTCTATAGAGATTCTGAATCATAAAGAGCCTAAAAATATTGTCCATGAGGAAACACAAACACTAAGGTGAGGGACCTACAACCTAGCAGATGTTGTTGCCCCTATCAACAATGACAACAACAAGAAAGATGTCCCAAGGGTGCTTTTCCAAAAGGCAACTGGATTTTCTTGGTTTTTTTTTTTCCTTGAAAAAGTTTCACTTCTCATCCAAGAAGCTTTTTCAGAACTTGCAGAACTAAAGAAGCTTCTTGGATGAGAAGCAAAACTTTTTTTTAAAGGAAAACAAAGACAGTCCAATTTCTAGGTTGTAGGTCCCTCACTTTAGTGTAGATGCTTCCTCACAGACAATATTTTTAAGCTCTGTGACTACTTTGCACTTGGTTTAATACGAGATTTATAGGTTTGAGCCAATTTTGAGCAAGCAGTTATGCTAGCTGCACAAAAGTATCAGCACCTATGTTGGCGGAGTCCCCAGCTCCAAATTTTCACCTTTTTTTTTCAATTGCAGCCAGCCAGCAATAATGAAATGTATTTGTTCTTCTGCACCAGGTCTGTCCAGTCAAGAATGTTGTGTATTCAGCCACCCATAACCAGTTTCACATTAATTCACATGACTAATCTGCATGTACCAAAGACTAAGTGGCTCTGACTTAGTTTGATTCATATGTGGAATTATTTTCTCCTGCCAAGACCTATACATAATGTATGAGATTTCAAACAGAAATTATAGGGATTGAGCTGAAGCCATGCAATCTCCCACTGAGAGACATGTCCCTGAAGTATCATTTGTAACTCTACTTACATGCAGCTCTGCAGCTTTTCCACAACAATTGTACGGCTGTACCGACGAGTGTTCAAACAGAACAATACAAGTCCTAGAATGGAAATGGGAATTCAGAATGTGCTTATGTGTGAGTATGTTTTCTGCTCACAGCTCTTAAGAAATTGTCTTATATAGTTCAAACAATTCCTAAGTCTAAGAGTAAGAGATGAGTGATGTTAAGTCTGTCTAGACTAGTGTATTTCAACCTTGACAACTTTAAGATGCGTGGACTTCAACTCCCAGGATTCCCCAGCCAGACTTGTTGGCTGGAGAGTCCTGGGAGTTGAAGTCCATGGATCTTAAAAGTTGCAGGGTTGAAAAAAACCCACTGATCTAGACAATGTTCCCCAACTTGGACAACTGCTAGCCATTGTGGAATTGAAATCCAAACATGCAGAAGTTGCCCAGCTAAGTAAACACTGATCTAGATCTTATTTTAAGGACTATCTCGGGAACTTATGACTTCTTGTCCTTCCTACAAGTTCTGTCAAAAAAAAATCAAGAGCTATTTCAGCTCTAAAAAGTAGCCAGTTGTTCTAGTAACTCTTGTGAGAAGACTCTGTTGTCATTCACAGAGATCCTTTGTCCTTATGAGGTCTAGCAGGTGTTCTAGGATCTCACAATTGACCCGTCTTCTCTGAGAAACTGCAAATATTCTCAGGATTTAAGGAACATTGTGTGATGTTGATACCAAATTGAAGTATTTATTTTCCATTCACCAATCACAGCAATACTGGCAGTCCTCAACTTACAACAGTTCATTTAGTGACCGTTTGAACTTTACAATGGCACTGGAAAAGCGACCTATGACCATTTTTCACACTTATGTCCGTTGCAGCATCCCCGTGGTCATGTGATCAAAACCCAGCTGCTTGGCAACTGGTTCAATATTGTGATGGTTGCAGTGTCCCGGGGTCATGTGATCCCCTTTTGACAAGCAAAGTCGATGGGGAGACTTAAGATTGTTAAGATTCACTTAACAATTGCATAATTCACAACAACTGCAGAGATTCGTTTAATAACAATGGCAAAAAGGTCGTGTAATGGGACAAAACCCACTTAGCAACTGCCTTGCTTAGCAGTGGAAATTTTGGGTTCACTTGTGGCTGTAAGTTGAGGAATCCCTGTATAGTCCTCCATTTATGATAGTATTTTTTTTAAAAATGAGTCTTTTCCTCCTCAACAGTGGGGCAAGCGCAGTATGAAGAAACCGCAGTTGCTGTTTGTAAGAAAAACATCCTAAATCAAGAGCTACCATTTCCAAAATGTCTCACAAATTGTCAGAAGAAATGTTTTAACTTGGAAATTAAATTTAGTTCTCCTCTTATACTGCAATAAAAAGGTTACTTTGAAGTGGCACAGCAACAAGATGTTTCATGAAACCCACATTTCTTCTACTCTTCTTGATGAAGCTAGTTTATCTGCTATAGAAAAAATGTGTGAAAAAATATTTTCAGGCAAAGTATTTTGAATTCAAGGTACTCCCTATCCTGTAGGTCAGGGGTCTTCAAACTTGGCCCTTTTATGACTTGTGGACTTCAACTCCCAGAATTCCTTAGCCAGGCACGCTGGCTGAGGAATTCTGGGAGTTGAAGTCCACAAGTCATAAAAGGGCCAAGTTTGAAGACCCCTGCTGTAGGTGAAGCAATTGGTTTGAAGGTGGAAAGGGCTGCTGCAAATATTTTGGAAGTGGTGGGGTTTTTTTCCCTCTCAGGGCAACTCTCTTGCACGGAGCCCTGCTTGAGGCTTGAGTCATTTCCATTAAATGTGAACTGGCTACTTTGTGCTTGAGAAAAAGGATGTTTTGGATTTAAAGCCTTTTTCCACATCTTTCATATAGTATCATTTCCCCCCTGTTTCTGTTCTATTTTTTTTCTGTTGTTGTTGCTTTGTTTTCACTTTTTTTTTTGTTTTTTTGCTTCATTGTTCTCTAACACAGAGATGGGGAACCCGTGAGTCTCTGTAAATTGCTGAAATACAAGCCCAATGTACCCTTAGTAAGGTTAGGGGATTGTCATTCAGCAACATATGGAAGGGTACAGTTTCCCCTCCTTGACTCAACACGGCCTTGCATTCTCAGCAGAACAAGCAAGAAAGAGTTTTCACAACACACTGTGCTTTAAAGCTTGCATGTTTGGCATGCACCAAAATGATACTGAATCGTCTCTACGAGTTTCATTTTTGTCTTCACAGCCATCCTGTGCGAACATGCCATAAATGTGTTGTTTTAAGAAAAAAAGCTTAATGAATAAGATGCTGTGAAACCAAACCACAAACCAGGAAGAGGAGAGTTTAGCTTGAATTCAAATAAGGCCACGTATACATTTGAGTACAATGGGACAGGAGGAGACAGTATTAATAAAATGTTCCAGCATTCAGGTTTCCTCACAACATTTATTTTGTGGGGAATAAATGAAGAGGTGAGGTGGATGGTTAAGCATAAGGAGCAAGTTAAACAAAAAGAGCAATTTATAAGCTTATGAAACAATAGCTCTGTTGTGAAATGTAAGAGAATATGCCCATCAGTCAACAGGGATCTTTAGAAATCTCATTTATTATCTGAAAGATGTCTCAGTATGGAATTAATTCAACTTTAATTGCATCAAATTCTGCTCCTTTGATCACATCAATGTATGAATTAGAAGTTCAAATGACATCACCTGCCTTCCTTTTTTTTTCAATCAGCAGACTGCAAAACCAAAAGATGATTTAGCAAACATTTCTTGGACTTTCAAATACTCCTATAGTGTAATTTGGCTTTACAATATAACCCCTGATCCAATCTTAGATTGAAACAAACTATTACTATAGTTCTACTAAAGTGTGAATTCAGATTTTGGTCACCACATTATAAAAAAAATGTTAAGACTCTGGAAAGTGTGCAGAGAAGAGCAACAAAGATTATTAGGGCCTGGAGGCTAAAACATGAAAAATGTTACAGGAATTGGATATGTCTAGTCCAGGGGTAAGCAACCTTGGCTCTTTTATGACTCGTGGACTTCAGCTCCCAGGATTCCTGGGCCAGCATGTCCACGCGTCATAAAAGAGCCAAGGTTACGTATCCCTGGTCTAGTCTAATGAAAAGAAAGACCAGGGGTCACATAATAGCAGTGTTCCAATATTTGAGAGGCTGCCACAGAGAAAAGGAATCAACCTATTTTCCAAAGCACTAGAAGGTTAAAAAGAGAAACAATGGGTAGAAACTAATCAAGGAGAGAAGCAACCTGGAATTAAGGAGAAACATCCTAACAGTGAGAACAATTAACCAGTAGAACAGCTTGCCT